GACACCCCTTGTGCTTTGCATGAGCATCTCTAAGTGCTGCCCCAGCCAGATGCCTAGCAGGCAGGACCCAAGGAGGGCTGGGCAGAAAGGTGGCAAAAAATCAAAAATGCATTTTGAATTGTTACAGTAAATGTTTGCTCCCAGAAAGAGAGATGTAGAATGAGTTTCCTTAGAGAGGTGAAACTGCAATATTTGTGATCTTGTTGTTTAGGGACAATAACACGGAAAATGTCACTGCATGCAAGTGAAGCTCTCCAGTTTAAGCAAAAAGATAGTGAGTAAAAATAAGTGTGAAGTGTGAAATTTAACAGAATGTTAATACAAATAGAGCAACAGGGCCCTAATACTCCTTTTGGCACCTGGGAAGTACCATATCATAAATACCAAACATTAATAAGAATTTTGTTTCATGAGAAAAATGGAAACTTCAGATGCCAATCACATAAGTTCTTATACATCTAAGCTGTATGTATACAAGGAAATCTGATCTAAAGACAGTCACAAGTACTCATACAGCAAATTTTGAGAAAAATAAGATCTAGAAGAAAAACAAAGCATCAATGTGAGTAACCTGAGCACTAGAGACAACAAAATGGAAGGAGAGAAGAAGGGAGGAAGGAAGTAGACCATCACATTCTGTCTTATTCTGTATTAATTGGTATGATTCAGTTCTTATTCTGTTATTCTCCACATGCTTACAAGGGTGTTTGCAAACCTACAATAAATTCAGGTAAAGTCAGTGAGACTGCTGACCTAATAAATTTATACAATTGCTTACTATTTTACGGGATAAACATTTTCACTATTCACATGTCCTTTAAATGTGTCCATTGTATAATGGAGACTGAATTATCAGCCAAGAAACATCAAAATATTAGAATTATCGCTCAGAAGTATGGACTGCATTGAAAACTGGGATTAAAGCTATAGTGTCCACACTGTTTCAGATGGGTAGTTCATTTTTCTCTTTGGTCTGATTCAGCTGGTGACACATAAAATTAATAAAACTTTGCTGATATATTGATGCATTTTAATATCTCTGTGAAATCCTGAGTAGAATTTAGACACTGCTTTAAAAATTCTGATCTCATAATGTTAGAATACAGTGGACAATGAAACAAAACATCAGTAACAGGAAAAAAAAAAAAAAGTCTTTTAATGGAGCACTTACCAAATATAACGTTTGTTGTGAAAATTCAGACAAACACTGTTGGATGCTTTAAAAGACTAGAAACAGTTTTTTGCCATGAGTAACATTGCATCTACGCAAGTGAAACAATACAATTAATCAAATACCCTGAGGAGCTAAACCCACCTCTCATGCATAATTCTGCATGTTGTTTTTTAAGATTTTTTTTTTAAGCTGGAAGAAGTGTGCATTTTCTCCAGAATCAGCTGCTAGAAGACAGCAAAGAAAATCGTACTGATTGGTCAGAAATTTAATAAAATGTGTTTCTAAAAAAAAACTATTTTTTTTAGTGAACTAATGTTGATAACAAGATGTATAGGTAAATTTTGAATACAACAAAGAGATGCAGGAGTCATTGTTCTAAGCCTGAAAACATTTGCAATCTTTACTTTGTCCTCTTTATTCATAATTTATAAATCACTGCTTACAAAACCCTCTAGGAATCAGTTGAAATCCAAGCTTGCTGTTGCAAGTTCTTGAAATCCAGTTCTTGCTGTTGCTTTCTTTTGTTTATCTTAGGCTGTGCTTTGGCAAAGGTGCATTTGCAACTCAGCAGCAAATGCAACCCATTGCCCCAAAGCTCACAAGCCATAGCTTAGAGGTTTAGCAATCCAAGCCATTTATTTCAGTGGTTCAAACCTCGAGGGCTGTAACAGATGACCTCCCTTCCAACCTAACCGTTGTGCGATTCTGTGTAATAGCAGTGAACCAAAGTACCATTTGTATACAAGAGACAATCACTAAGCACCCTGAAAGTCAGGACAGGTGTGTTTTTTTAATTTGTCTTCCAGGTGCTGAGTTAAGGAAAGATCACAATTTGTGACTTAGTTTCATCTGAACACAGAGCTGGAGTCAGAACTAAATGAAAACTATTTTGTTATTCTGTCTTTCTCACTACAAGGCTTAAAAAAATAATCTAAATTATGTACTGAAATGAAGATAAAAGTGCTTTGAAGAGAGGCTGAAAGGTCTTGTGTTCATCACAAAGCCTTTTGAAACATTTTTTTTTTCTTCTTGAGGGACTACTGACATATCTGAGTAGCTTAAAAACTGGAGCAGTCATCTGAGCTGCATCGCTTCAACTGATATTTAAAGTAACCAAGTCTGAGAACTGTTGAGGTCAGAGGAGAGTCAGAACTTTCTAAAAAAGATAAATAGCTGTAAGTGGGATGCAACTCCAGTAAGAACTGAATAAATGTGTGACAGAAAAATAGGGAAATATGTAAACCAGTTACTGCCAATTTTTATGGTGACCCAGCTTACAGCACTGGCCTACTGGTCCAACACTCAGCTTCCAAACAAGTACTGAAAAGTTCTAATATGAGCTTCTTGAGTGCCCTGAGCTCTGGGAAAACAGCACAGTATGAAGTTTCCAAAGCTCAGTCTATTTTATTTTATTTTTTTGAATCCAAGAGAAAATTAAGGACTTGAGCATGAGGTATTGCCATGTCATTCCACTCAAAATCTATGAAAGCAAGGCAATTATGACCATTCTGAATCTGTGCATCCTCTCATTTTGGGGGAAAAAGAAATAGAAAAATAAAAGTATCTAGCAAAATACATCACGTACTGAACTTTGTTTAATTGCATAACTACTCCCAGAAACTTTTAGAAAATACTTATAAAATGAGTGACTCAGAAGAGAATATCTCTAAACTGATGTTCTCAAATTAATTCCCATGCCTGCAGCCCAACATTTACCCCACGTCCCCTGCACCTTGCTATCAACATTTTCTCTTTTATTTACACCTTAATTTTCAGTACACAATTTTTCTCATAACTACTGGAAGAAAAAAGATTTATTTTACTGATATTGCCTTTTTATTGTCTCTACACATAACGTTAATATGGGGAGTGTCACTTTCCTGAGTGGCACTGCTGATTCAATGCATGACTCGCCAGTAAATACACATGGTACAAAACATGGAAATAATGCAATCACAGAATCATGGAATCACAGAATCGTCTAAGTTGGAAGAGACCTCCAAGATCACTTAGTCCAACCTCTGACCTAACACTAACCAGTCCTCCACTAAACCATATCCCTAAGCTCTACATCTAAACGTCAAGGATGTGCAAGGATGCATTCAAGTCAGCGCAGCTCAATGGTACAGAAGCTTTTGAAATCTGAGTTGCTTCCTAAGCCAGCTGCTAAAACCCACCTCCAGCAAGCTCTACTTACTGCCACCTCTCCTGGGAGCAAGCCACAGGTGTACAAAACCTGTCCAGGTAAGAAAGTGAGTTTGTTTGATTGTTAACTTGCAATTAGAAAAACTATGAGTTAGCACAGACATGCACCCTGTCCTTCTCCTTCCTCTTCAGAGGGATCTACAGCAGCTTCTGGGAGAGCAGAAGATTGACAAAGAGCTGGGACTCTGCCTCAGGGCAGGAGAAGACAGCTGAGAGGCATGGCTCAGGGAAGGAAGGAGCATGGCGCAAAGCTTCTTTCAAAAGAGGCTACCACGCCAAAAGGTAGCTCAGAACCAACACTTCTGCACTTTTCCAATAATGTTTCCTTTTTGTAATTACAAGTTAGGGTGATTTTGAGGGCAGATTCTGAAAAATAAACTCCTCTTGGTTTTAAGCAGGTTGAATCACATCAGTTCACACAAAATGAGAAGCACTGGTTTGCTTTGCTTGAGGGAACATGTTTTCAGGGAAAAATGCAGCAGAAACTTTTTTATTGGTGCCAAAGAGCAGTGCCAAAGAGAAGATGGAAAAAAAATACTGCTGATCGAAGTGCTCTATTTTGAAGAGAGACCAGAAGTCAACATGCAGTTACCACAGGAGCCATCCTGACTCTGTCCCAGTACAGGTTGCAAAACAAAGGTGGAATTTCTCTAGCCATATCCACATCTTCTGAATCGCCTATGTGCCACCTGTAGGCAGAACTTAGGTGTCTCAGTGTCCGGTATGATTAAAATTGCCTATTGTTTGGCACTTACTCTTTAAAACCTTGAAAGTCAATAATTTTTTCGCTTGGGCAGCAATATTTCCAAGGCACCCAAGCATCAGCTTTCAATGTAAGAACAAAGTAGAAGTACTTTGGTGGTAAAGATGGAATCTAGCTCAGCACCAAAAAGTTTTCCCATAATTCAATGATATATATAATGATAGAAGGCAAACACCATCCAAGTCTTTGTGGAGGTCTGATCTAGAAGACCTCATCTAACTCAGCTGGGATGCACTGAACTCAACATAAAGCCCACTAGTTAAGTAACTCTATTCTAAAGCATTGAGGGAAGAGGCAGAGTAGAAGGACAAATACTTATTTAAATGACTGGAAAGCATTAAAAGTGGCATAAGTGATACTTGATACCATTTATAGCTCTGGTTCCCTTGAGAGCAGGGTGAGAGATAAGAAGAAACACAGAAGAAAGCAGCATTTCCAAACAGGGAAGCAGGATATAATAAAGTAGCAGTGTGAACCCTGAAGCTAGAGTCTTTCAGAAAACATAGTGAAAGCTATTCCCCAGTAAATGGCTTAATAACTATTATTGTTATCATAATATAGCTTGAGTGGATTAGATATGGGCATTTTGTAAAATTCCTCACCCTTTTGATTTAAACTGTACCATGCAAGTCCACAAAACGGAGTTTTCTAAATGGCAATGTCATGATTTGATACAACTTCATAGGCAAAGCTTATAAATAGGAAAATACTCACTCTGCTGGGGAATACCACTTAGCCCTGTTTGGAAAGCATAAGTGAGCTTTCCAGAGTACACAGTACTTGAGCTGCTTCTCTCTGAACAAATAACCTCTCCTTTTGCACACATATACACACGGCCTTCCAAATTAACGTTCTTACCTTGTCTTTACTTTCAGAGCCAGAATCCTCAAGTTTGGTTCGAATGACAAAGGGAGTAGATAATCTCAGGAGGACTCGTTCAAATGTGGCACTGATCTTAGGAGAAACTATGTCAAAGCAGTCCTGGAATTTCAGAGTTTTATGAGTGTCACATCTGAGCTGCTTCCTTAGACCTTCTCCAAGCTGAAGAACAAGCATGTTTGGATCAAACATCAGGTGAAAGGGGAATGCTCTGCAGAAGGTGCTGATACTAATCCTCAGGTCTAAGGGGGACTGGGAAGTTCCTGGTGGAAGTGTTTTTGTGATATTTGCATTTTCATGTTCTTTGATAAGGAAAGTCAAACAGCTGCAATTACCTGGGTTCGTCCCCTCTGAACACAGCTTATCATTAGCGACCTGTTCTACTTCCACTTCCAAGCGGTAAATCTTCTTTGCTGCTGCCTTTATCATTCCCATCATTGCAAATCCCACAATTTGATGTGGGTGAAAGTAATGAAGCATGAGATTGCCATCGGGGAGCTCTTTGCATAGGAAAGAAGGGGATTCCAGGGTGGCCTGTCTTCCAAATGAAGTTCTAATGTGCTCCAGCAAAGCATCAAAGCCATTGAAGAAGTCTTGAAGGGTCCCACCTACTGCTCGAAGAACTCTTTCATTCTCGTCAAAGCAGACGTTGAAGAATTCTTCCCCAAATTTTTCTTGCATTTCCTCAAGCTTCAAACCTATAGGAAAATGAGATACTCATGTCAACAGCATAATACTGCTACCATGTCACATCTTCCTTTTGCTGTCTTTTTGTGCAGTATTTTTCCAAGTCATTAAAAATGGCTTTCCTGCTGGATATTTGCCTACTCTGTTTTCTGTGGTGGCTAGGAATAAGCCTTGGGTGCCTGAAACACACTGCTTCATTCTAGCAGCCATTTTTGCCTGCTATTTTAATTCCTCGTGGTTTCAGCTCCCTGTCCCTGCCAGCTATATGTGAGGTTTATACTTTTCCCTGTCTCCTCTTCCCTGATGAAAACCAGAATGTACTACAATTTCCCTAACTTTTTCATGTCACAAGCAGTCTATTGTCTGAATGCACCCAACCAAGGGTGTATAGCTGCCATTGCTAACTTAGATATGGATGAGGCTTCTACTTTTACAGCCTCTTTCTTCACTGCCTCTGAAAGAGATCTAGCTCTTACCCGCTTAAAAATAAGCTGATGTGACTCAGGCCTTTGGTTTTCAATAAAAAGTGCAAAGGCCTTTGGCTTTCAATAAGTAGCATAAAGCTGTACAATTCATTCACACTTTAGTAGCTGTTTTTTGTTGGTTTTGTTGTTCTTTTCTCAGACAAAATACTTTTCTCATTATAGGTACTGGGTGCTGGCAGAAGATACAAAGGAATAATTACTTCTTTTTTGTTGCCTAAAAATGAGAGCAAATCCTTTCTATTTTAGGCACCTACATTCATCTACCTTCCAAAAAATCCCTGTCCCTTGGATCTTTCTAAATTGCTATTAGATGGAATAGACCTGTGATAGCTCTAAATGTCACTTCAAGTCTCCACCAGAGAAATTCAAAAGGTTTTGATTTACAGTGGTGATAAGGCTGGTGTTGTACAAGGAGGGGGGAAATATCTGTAATTGAATTCTCTGGATCTAAATGTGCATCAAATGCTACTCCAGTTTTTTATTTACATTTTGAAAGATAAACTAGGAAAAAAAAAAAAAAAAGAAAAAAAAAAAAGTAGTTATTAAACATTTTCCTCAGTCTTATTTTAGAAAGGATATGCTCTGTTAAGTCTCATCTGATATAATGCCTATATCAAATAGCAGAGTTACAAAATTCATCAGGTATGTTTGTGTTGTGCTAAGCTGTGATAGAAGAAAAAGAAGTATGAATCAACTGCATGTGAATTACAAATATTCAACTAGAGATAAATAACACAGTTCCTCCAGAGTATTGAAATCTATTTTTCAATGTAGTGAACAAGTCAAACACCTTAAAATCAATCTGAATTTTAACGGAAATGAAGAGCAATTATTTATTTCCTAAGGGCACAGTAGGACCTTTATTTTAATATGTATTCAGTATGCTTTATAACATCGATAAGATCCCAGTGGATCGCCAAACTTATCACTTTTTAGATTGCTTGTAGACTTTGCGATTTGGAAGAACAGTGTAATGAGTGACTTTCATGCCCAAGAGGTATAACAGGGGGATAGAAGAAGTCATTCATCTGTTGTTTGCAGACAATAACCTTTGATCATCTCAAAGCAGTGTCTGAACTGCCTATACACATAGGCATAGTTATAACGACCAATATTTGCAAGGGATTTGAGTGTTTCATAGCTTTGCAAACAATCTGCAATGACAGTTTTGTTTGGACCTTCAACATGATTGATAGCAGACTAAAATTCATAAAATTACATATATAAATAGGACAACATGACAGCATGACAAAGCATATTTTATAAAAGAAGTAATAGCAATAATTTGGGAAAGTTCATCTGAATGCCATTACTCATAATCAAATTTGGTCACTAAACTAAGTTATTACAATAATATTCCCAGGATCTTTTATGACCACAGATGGTCAAATCTGCAGCTAAGCCAAAAGAAAGTACCTCTGGTACACAATGCCCCCCTAATATCCTGACTCAGAGGACAGAGTGCCAACTTCTGACTCATTATCACTACGTCTACATAACAGTATTGTAACATCTTCCTTAAAAATGTTCACTATAACTCAAAATTTAAATTAAATTCTAACCCATACCAATAACATTGTCATCACTGAATATTAATAACAAGGAATAAAGAAATTATCATGTTCATACATATACACAAACACATATACATACTGTTAAATCTTACTGTTCTATAGAGTGAACTGAATAGCTTTAAAAGTATGTGTGTAAAAGTGAGCAGTCACAAGACTAGCAGGGGCACCCAAGGCTGTAAGATTGCAGAGGCCTTGAAAGTATGGGAACATACCTATGCAACATGTCAGATCAATAGTGTAGGTGGAGCTGTCTTTCAAGTATAACATCACAATAAAATCGTAATTTGCCCTGGCACCACTGACTGAAAATAGGGTATGCAGAACTGATCACTTGATACCCTGCAGTTCACTGCTATGCATGTAAACTTTGTCTTACTATCATTGAAGGGAGTTGTATCTTAGTATTTAGCCTAAGATTTTGTTGATTGTCTTAGATTGGTCTTATCGTCTGCCCTGGAGAACTGGCTGTTCAATCTGGATGTAACATACTGATTCCAAGCAACATGAATTATCCTATGTCAATGACCTGGCTCGAGGACTTGCCACTACTTTTAAAAACATTTTAGCTCTGAATTCAGTTACACACAGTACCAGCAGAAAATTAGATTAGCTCAGAATAGAAAAATGGATATGCCCAAGCCAGACGAAACTGCTGCTCTGTCTTAGCCAGGAATTTTATCTCTAATAATAGATACTATGAAACACTGAGCAGATTAAACAAAGTCAAACCACCTTCTAACACAAACAAGTATAACCTACCTATTGGGGAAGTTTCTTCCTAAGCCTCTCCAATTGGAGGTAAATTTTTGCCTGAAGCATGATGATTTTTTAAAAATCAAAACCTTTATTTAAATTCCTATTATACAAGAAAACACAAATTTATGTTTTTTCCTGTGTTTGCTCTTGGTGTTGTACTTGTACGAAGTTGCACTAAATACTTTATCTGTATTTTCAGTGAAGCAATCCTGACTCTCCAATTGGAACAAATGATGAATAGAAGCACAGACACACCTTACATAAAACATTAACTCTAGATATGTTTCATCATAACTTTTTATTTTGTACAATAAAAATGATCCCAATTTTTTGAATATCTTCTGTGTAGTTTTCCCCTCACCCTTTTCTCTGTAGTGACTGTATAGGTTTACCTACAAGAAACGATAGAAATGATCATCATTGCAAAGAGAGAAAATGTCAGAGTACACCAGGCTGCTATGTAGCTGCTCAAAAATATTGTCCAGTAGTGCCTGGTATCAGAGGCTACAGAAAAAAAAAAAAAAAAAAAAAAAAAAAAGAAAAAGTGAAACCTGCTGAAAGATCATGAACAAACATATTTTTGAGAAAGCTTCTCCCTTACTGTTATGGTAAATATTTGTCTTAGTGAAAAAGAGGGAGCTACGAGGTCAAGAGATAATTTTATCTGTTATAGAAGATCCCACTTTCTAAGAAAAATCCACTGAATTAATTGTCTCTACAGTGCATGCTTTACTATGTTTGGAGACTTCCGTAAGCTAATTGTGATCTTTAAAAATTAAATCATTAAAACATGAATCATACATTCATATGATTTCCAATTCCAACATATTCAATATTTCCTGTTTTTTCTTTTATTTTAAGAAAAGACAAATAAAATTTTCAAAATAATCTTATTTATAACCTTCAAGTTATCCATCTGCATAAAAAGTCTAATCTTTTTACCCTTCTCACATGATATTCTTTCAGTGCATCTTCATTTTGTTTTCATTTAAAGTTTGCAGGTGAGTAATTCACATTGAAGATGGCCCTGAAAATGTGAGTCAACTTTCCATTCATCAAAATTGAAAGTATTTCTCACTATGATTTACTATCCCTTTCTGAAAAGCTAGTATTTTCATTCTTTCTTTTTCACTCTGGCATTCTAATTAAATATACATATATCCAGCTATCCAGAAAAAATTTTTATGTTTGAGATTTGTGTGTGTGCCCAGCACTTCCAATTTCAGAGGCTACTGCACTTCTATACTTCTTTGTGGGTGGCCACCATCAACACAGATAGGGCTTCCTAATGGGCACAAGCCTGCAATCATTAAGTAAGAAAAAAAAAAGTTTTTGTTTTAAAGTATCTTTTATTTTCACCAAGACTTTTAACTAAACAGTAGTGACACAAGATAAACCAAAATTCATCCCAACACTCTCTTCTGTTACCCAGCTGAAGCCATTTTATCTTATATTGAGCTTCTGCTATTTACCAGCCTTCTACTGGTATACTCAATGAAATTTAAGAATTCTTCAGTCTAATTTACTTTCCCCTTTGAAAGTGATCTACTGTGTTCCTACCACTTAAACCACTTCTACAAGAGGACAAATCATATTCTGAACTTTAATACTTTTTTTTTTTCCATAACAGTTTCATTTTTGTTGCTTTCTCTTAAAATGCCATTTTTTACTCTAGTCTGTAGTGGAGAGAAATTAGATATACTCTTTTTAGAAGGAAATTAAAAGGCAAAGCAACTTTAGAATGAAGGCACTATTACAAACTATTTTTAGACCCATGATAAAAGTTCTAAAAGTCTGTTGTTAGCCTTTGAAAATGTGTCTCAAAGATGGTTTTATCAGATGATCTTTAAGGTCCCTTCCAATCCAAACCATTCTATGATTCTATGGCTCTATAAAACTTAGAGAAAAGATCTTACAGTTGTGAGCCAGATCAAAAATGACCAAAGTCTTTAAGCATAGGATCAAAGCAGAAATTAAGTATTCCTCTGAACTGGAGCAAAAATAGATGACTTCATCCCAGAGTACCATGCTAGTAAAAGGTCCTTCTTCATTTTCTTTTCAGTAGTTCCTGTAAATTGTGAACTCACAACAAGGAACTAATGCCAAGGAACTAATGTAGTATATCTAAGCAATTTGTAAATTACTGTCTGGAGAAATTAGATAGAAATCTGTTCCCATAAAGGAAACCACAAATCA